AAAAACTTACTATCAGTCTCGGTGTCTGTCAGTTTGGGCAGCTATAACAAGATATCTAGATTTCTAATAGTCCTAGAGGCTGGGAAGTCCAGCTGATTTAGTGTCTACTGAGGGCCTGCCCCATTGATGTAATCTACTTGGGAAACCCTTGCATGGTGGAAAAGGGAGAAGGGCAAAAGGCAGTGAACACTGTGTCCTCACATGAGGGAGGACATGGAAAAACTGGGTAGATTTCTGAAACCTCTTTTATAAGGTCACTAATCTCATTCATGATGGAGTACTGATGGCCTGATCACCTGCCAAAGGTCCTCCCTCTTAACACCATCACCTTGGGCTCTAAGTTCCAACTTGTGAATTTTGGAAGGACACATACATGCAAACTGTAGCATTCTGCCCTTGGTATCTCAAAAATTATGTCCTTCTCACATACACAATACATTCATTCTACCCCCATATCCCAAAGTTTTAACTTTTTTTTTCTTAGCTCCAATTTAAAAGTCTAGAATCTACAGTCTCTTCTAAATATCATCTAAATCAGATATATGTAAATCCCAAAGATATGTTTCATCCTGAGGAAATTGCTCTTCTACTGTAAATCTGTGAAATCAAATAAATTATAAACATTCAAAATGCAATGGTGGGACAGGCACAAGACAGACATTTCTATTTCAAAAGAAAAACGTACAAAAGAAAAAAGAGGTAATAGGTCTTAAGTAAGTCTAAAACCCAAAATGGCAAACAATATTAAATCTTGAGGCTTGAGAAATAATCTTTGAGTCCATGTCCTGCTTTCCAGAGACACTGTAGTGGGGGTTGGGCCACCAAGGCTTCAGGCAGCCCCACCTCCATGGCTTTGCTGGGTGCAGCCCACATGGCAGTTCTCAGGGATTGGATTCTCAGGGGTGTAATGCTGGTAGCTCTGTGGTTCTGAGGTTGCAGGGGTAGTCCTGCTCCATGGCTATACTAGATATTGCTCTAGTGAGGGCTCTCTGTGGTGACTTCACCTTGTGGCAGTTGGCTTTCTGATGCATCCTTAGAAATTTAGGTGCAAGTAGCCTTGCCTGAACAGCTTGTATGCCTGCAGAATTAGCATCACATGGACAATGCCAAGATTTACTGCTTGTGACCTCTGGAAGGGTGGCTGAAGCTGCATCTGGGCCTGCTGGAGCCGCATGTAAGACAGCTGAGGAGTCTGTGCCAGAATTCAAAGAGCAGCGACTTGAGGCAGTGTAGGACAGCAAGTGCTGAGGTCTTCCTGGTGTCCAAGGCCCCTCTTTTAATATAGTTATGCCTCTCAGATCTTGACATTCTCAACCAGTGATGGTGATGGAAGCCTCAATAATCTCCAAAATGATTTTTGGGTAATTCTCCTACTGTTTTGCTGAAAAGCATCTGGCTTCCTTCTGTCCATGCTAATCTCCTCTCACTCGGCACACCCTCGGTGTTCTCTCCTGAACATGTCTTTTCATTCATTATGGACTGGATAGGCTAAAAAATTTCCAATCTCTAAGCTCTGCTTGTCTTTTGACTAGAAATTTTGTCGTGGATTCATTTCTCTCTTCTTGCATTTTGTTATAAGAAGCCAAGAGAAGCAACAGCACACCCTCACAATTTTGCTTAGAGATTTCTTCTGCCACATATCCTAGGTAGCTGTTCACAAGCTCTGCCTTCTACAGAGCTGGGACATGGACAATATCCAGCTACGTTCTCTGCTACTTCATAATAAGGATGGCTTTTCCTCCAGGCTCCAATACCGTAGTCCTCATTTTCACCTATGATCTCATCAGAGTGGCCTTTGCTGTTTATATTTCTGCCAACATTATAATAATGGACAGTTAAGTAATCTCGAAGAAGACTGGGCCCTTTCTACAGCCTCAATCTCTTCTTCTGAGCCCTTGACAGAATAACCCTTTACTATCCCACCCCATTACTCAGATCTAAAGCCACTTACACATTTTTAGGTATTCGTTATAGAAGCACCCCTACTTCTTGGATGTAATTTAGATACTCAGTCCATTCTTGCTGCTATAATGAAATACCATAAAATAATTAATTTACAAAAAATATAAATTTATTTCTCACTGTTCTAAAGGCTGGGAACTCTATGATCAAGGTTCTGGCAGAATTGGTCTCTAGTAAATGCCTCCATGCTGCGTCCTCACACAGAAGAGGACACAATGGCAAATGGGATGAACTTGCTCCCTCAAACTTTTTGTAAAGGACTATAGGACTATTAAGATTATAGTATTATAAGGGACTATAATTCTATTTATGAGGCAATGTGGTTTGGATCTGTGTCTGGTTACAAATCTCATGTCTAATTGTAATCCCCAATGTCGGAAGTGGGGCCTGGTGGGAGGTGATTGGATTATGGGAGTGAATCCTCCATGAGTGGTTTAGAACCATCCCTTTGGTGCTGTTCTTGTGATAGAGTTCTCACAAAATCTTGTATTTAAGAGTGTGTAGCATCTTCCCTCTCTCCCTCTTCCTCCTTCTTCAGCTCTGTCAAGATCCCTACTCAAGTTTTTCCTTCTGCCATGAGTAGGGGTTTCCGGAGGCCTCCGAAGCCATGCTTCCAGTACAGCCTGTGGAACTGTGGGCCAGTTACCCTCTTTTCTTTATAAAGTGCCCAGTCTCAGGCATTTCTTTGTAGCAATGTGAAAATGAATTAATATAGAAAATTAGTACCAAGAGTGGGGCATTGCTATAAAAATACCTGAAAATGTGGAAGCAGCTTTGGAACTGGGTAACCAACAGAGGTTGGAACAGTTTAGAGGGCCCAGAAGGCAAGAATATAAGGGAAAGTCTGCAACTTCCTAGAGACCTGTTAAATTGTTATGATCAAAATGCTGGCAGTTTAAGTTACAGTGTATGTATACATTTTTGGAAGGAATCATGTAAATCAAAGCAGTTGGCAGTGATTTTTTGATATCACACCAAAAGCTCAGGCTACAAAAGCAAAAATAAACAAGCAGGACTGCATCAAACTGAAAAGCTTCTGCATAGTAAAGGAATAATTGACAAAATAAAAAGGTAGCCTACACCTTGGGAGAAAACATTTGCAAACCATATATCTGGTAATCTGTTTAATATTCCAAATATGTAAGAAACATGACCAACTCCTCCCCCCAAATAATCTTATTGAAAAATGGACAAAGGATCTAAATAGACTTTTTTTTTTTTAAAGCAAACGTAAAAATGGCCAACAGATTATGAAAACGTTCTCAGCTTCACTAATTATCAGGGATATACAAATCAAAATCACAGTGACATATAACTTTATGCCTGTTAGGATGGCTATTATCAAAAACAAGAGATAACAAATGTTGATGAGGGCATAGAGAAAAAGGAAACTATTGTACATCATTGGTGGACATGTAAATTAGGATAGTCATTATGAAAAAGTATGAAGCTTCTTAAAAACATTAAAAATAGAACTACCATATGATCTCTTTTAATACTGGCACTTATAAATTTGTCTTTTTGAGTGATTGGGGAAATCCTTTGCCTAAATTTTTAACTGATCCACAGGAAAACTTTCTTAATTAAAAAATTTCCTGTTTATGTGGTGAATTACGTTGATAGACTTGCGTATGTTGAACCAGCCTTGCATCCCTGGGATAAATCCTACTTGATCATGATGAATAAGTTTTTTGATTTGCTGTTGCAATCGGCTTGCCAATATTTTATTGAAGATTTTTGCATCTATGTTCATCATGGATATTGGCCTGAAGTTTTCTTTTCTCGTTGGGTCTCTGCCAGGTTTTGGTACCCATCAATCCCATTACTGGGTATATATCCAAAAGACTATAAATCGTTCTACTATAAGGACACATGTACACGAATGTTCATTGCAGCACTGTTTACAATAGCAAAGACCTGGAATCAACCCAAATGCCCATTGATAATAGACTGGATTGGAAAAATGTGGCACATATACACCATGGAATATTATGCAGCAATCAGAAATGATGAGTTCGTGTCGTTTGTAGGGACATGGATGAATCTGGAAAACATCATCCTCAGCAAACTGACACAAGAACAGAAAATGAAACACCGCATATTCTCACTCATAGGTGGGTGATGAAAAAATGAGAACACATGGACACAGAAAGGGGAGTACTAAACACTGGGGTCTATTGGGGGGAAAAGGGGAGGGCCAGTGGGAGGGGGAGGTGGGGAGGGATAGCCTGGGGAGAAATGCCAAATGTGGGTGAAGGGGAGAAGAAAAGCAAAGCTGCCATGTGTGTACCTACGCAACTGTCTTGCATGCTCTGCTCATGTACCCCAAAACCTATAATCCAATAAAAAATTAAAAAAAAAAATAAATAAATAAATAAAATAATGATTTAAAAAAAAAAAAAAAAATTTCCTAGGCCTGGCACAGTGGCTCACGCCTGTAATCCCAGCACTTTGGGAGACTGAGGTGGGCAGATCATGAGACTAAGAGATTGAGACCATCCTGATCAACATGGTCAAACCCCATCTCTACTAAAAATACAAAAATTAGCTGGGTGTGGTGGCATGTAACCATAGTCCCAGCTACTCAGGAAGCTGAGGCAGGAGAATCACTTGAACCTGGGAAGCGGAGGTTGCAGCTAGCCAAGATTGTGCCACTGCACTCCAGCCCGGCGATAAAGCAAGACTCCGTCTCAAGAAAAAAAAAAGTCCTATTTCTTTTCTTCTGTGTACTAGCAATTCTTTGCATAGATCCTGTGCTGAATCCTTTTGGATTATTACTCATCTTGAAAAGACATGATATCTTCCATGTCAAAATTTTACAGGAGGGTTGTGTGTGTGTGTGTGCATGTGTGTGTCTGATTCAGGTAAAATGGGAATCTCTCCATTCCTGGGTTATGAGAGTGAGTTACGCAATCTTTTTCTGCACTTTAGCTGACCAAGAAGGGCACTATGGGGTTGTCAGTTGCTCTACTTCTCATAGTCTGTGCAATATCTTGTTCAGAACAGTTTCTTTTCTTTCTTTCTTTTTTTTTTTTCAGACAGTCTCACTTTCTTGCCCAGGCTGGAGTGCAGTGGTTCCATCTCGACTCACTGCAACTTCCGCCTCCCAGGTTCAAGCCATTCTCCTGCCTCTTGCCTCAGCCTCTGGAGTAGCTGAGATAACAGGTATGCACCACTTTGCCTGGCTAATTTTTTTGTATCTTTTGTAGAGAGGGGATCTTGCTATCTTGGTCAGGCTGGTCTCGAATGCCTGACTTCAGGTGATCTACCCACCTTGGCCTCCCAAAGTGCTGGGATTACAGGCATGAGCCACGATGCCTGGCCAGTTCAGAACATTTTCTGATCCAGGCTCTATCTACATGTTATCTATTGGCTAATGTTGTTGTTATTGTTATTATATAATTACATTTTTGCATTTTAAAAGACAATGATTTTAAGAATGTACTGATTATAAATGTCCCTGGGAGCAGCAGGAGATTAAAATCCTGAGGCTGTATTTTGTATTAGCCCTCTATTGTAATTTCGTGTTGGTCTGTCACTTTAGGTCCTCAAATAATTAGTAATAGCATCTTCCTGGAGTAAAAGTATCCAACTCTAATAGAAGTTTGTACTTTTAGGAATCATAAAGACCAATGACTTTTTAAAAAGATATCTCTTAGTGTCCTGTGTGGGAATCTGAAGCTTCTGTAGCTAAGAAACAGCAGAATGTGAATGCTTTTATAAATTAAAATTAAGTTCTCAAATTATATGTACACATCTTAACCAGTTAATGAGATCAGAAGTGCTTGTGGTAAAAAATAGAAATTACTAGCCTCTTCTTTCCTAAACCTTGACCCAGTGTTCAGGGAAATCTTTTTGAATTATTGCTCTGCTTCTGATATTCTGAAGTAACTAATATGGTTACATCTCTATTTTTTGCTTTACCAATTTAAAAAAATTATCTCTGGATTGCTTACTATAAAATGTCACTTTTATTGTGTCTGTCATTTTTCAGGCATTATTCTGAGAGTATAAATGTAGAGAATGGAGAAAAGCTAGATTGGAGTGTGGTTGAGAGAGTACAGGGAGATGAGTCTAAGACAACAAATCTAGTCAGTTTTAAGGAGTTTTGCTCTAAGGGGACTGGAAAAATGGGGTGTAGTCAACTGACGTAGGATGTGTGGTCAAGAAAGGTTTTTGTTTTCATTTGTTTTGTTAGAGTGTAAGAACTTGTGTGTATGTCCAAGAAAGGGAAGGATCCAAGCAAGAAAGAAAAATGATTCTGCAAAAGGGAGAAGGGGGAATTCAGAGTAATGTCCTTTTTGAAAAGAGGCTGAGTGAGCTCTAGTGTAGTAATGGAGTGGCTAGCTCAGGCAGTGCAGCAGTTACACAAAGCATCAGGAGAAAAATAGGAGTGTTTGGGAATAGTTCACTTACATCTTTTGTGCTCCTCCTACTGTTTAGATTGATTGATTGATTGATTGAGATGGAATTTTGCTCTTTTTGCCCAGGCGGGAGTGCAATGGCATGATCTTGGCTCACTGCAGCCTCTACCTCCCGGGCTTAAGTGATTTTCCTGCCTCAGCCTCCTGGGTATTTGGGACTGTACAAGTGTATGCCACCACACCGGCTAGGTTTTTTTTTTTTTTAATATTTTTAACAGAGATGGGGTTTCACCATGCTGGGCAGGCTGATCTTGAACTCTTGACCTTCGGTGATCAGCCTGCCTTGGCCTTCCAAAGTGCTGGGATTACAGGCGTAAGCCACGACACTTGGCCCTTATTTTATTTTTATTGGAATTATTTTCTTCTGTTGGTTGCATTTTAAACTTTAAATAATACGTTTATTATTCCATCTGCATTCCTCACATTTTTTTGCCTCTACTTCCCACTTTACCTTCATGTTACAAAGCTGGTAATTTTGATATTGTATCCTAAAACCATTACTAAGTTTACCATGGGTTGGATATAGATTGAAATGAAAACTTCTAAACAATATACATAGTATACATTGTTATACCTAATATTGCTATAATATAAACAGGTAATTATTTTTAGAGAAAAACAATTATTTAGGTATTTTCCTTTATTACCACCCAATTTTGGTTCACTGCCTGGATCTGAAGTAGTCTTTCCTTTCCTTATTTTCTTATAGTGATATAGACTCAAAAAAATTTCCTATAGCATGTATATTATATAAACATATCTGAAAATGTCTTGGTTTTAAATCTGTTTAACAGTTTTATAGTATTTGAAATTCTAATTTTGAAATATGTTTTCCTCTGAGAAACCTGAAGGCATTATTTCATTACCTTTGAGTATCTAGTGTTGCTGATGAAATATCTGAAAATAAGAGCTTAAACATATTAAGTGATTAACTTGTGCCAGAAACAATTAGCACCAAAGCTCTATTTATATTTGTACCTACATCATGTCTACATGTTTGTAATCATTGAATTCTTACAACAGCCCTATGCAGTAGTAGTGTTATACCCATTCTACAGAAAAGAATTGGGCACTGACAGGTTAAGTAACATACCCAAGGTCACAAAGCTACTAAATGGCCATGTCAGGATTCAAATTATAATGTCTGGATTCCAAAACTGAACACTTAATCACTGGTGGTCTACAGCCTCTGATATCAGTTCAGTCTTAATTTTTCTGTAATTAGCTTTTATTCTCCCCTAAAACCATTTCGATTTGAAAATTCATGGCCTGCTGAGATCTGTGGAATTCTCTGTTACCATCATCATCATCCATCATCATTTCCCTTCTGTTAGTTTTCTATTGCTTTGTAACAAATCACCAAATTTCTAATGACTTGAAGAAATGCCTATTTATTACCTTACAGTTCTTTAAGTCAGAAGTTCAGGTGGGTTCCAGTGGGTTCTACAATTCGGGCCTCACACAATTTAGTTAGTAGGGCTATGCCATTCTGGGGGCTGTAGGGGAGATTCTGTTTCCTTGCTCTTTCAGGTTGCTGGCAGAACTCAGTTCCTTGTGATTGCAGAACTGAGGTCCCTGTTTCTTGCATGGCTATCATCCAGGTGCTACTCTCAGGTTCTGAAAGCTACCTGTGTTCCTTGGCACACAGCCACATTCTATCTTAAAAGCCAGAAATGACAGGTTGAAAATCCCCTTATTGCTTAAAATCTCTCACTTCCTTTTTAGTTATTAGCCAGAGAAGATTCTTTGCTTTTAAAAGCCTTGTACCATTAGGTTGAGCTCATCTAGACAATGTCCTTTTGAATTAACTTGGAATTAACTGATTACTTCTACAAAATCCCTTTTGCCAAGTAATGTAATATAGTCCTGTGAGTGAAATCTCATCATATCTCATCATATTCACAGTCTTGGGGTCAAATCTGGAATTCTGCCTGATGCATTAACTTCCCTTTCATTTGCCTTTGTTCCCTTCTACTCTAACATGTTGGATTTCTTAAAAGATTCTTCAGTTTTGTTTGTTCTCTCATTCATATTTTTTCTTTCTGCATTTTTTATATTTTAGAAAATTTCTTTTACTATATTTTGTAGTTCAATTGTATTCTTTCTTGGAGATTTTTTTTTCTAAGAGCATTTTCCTGTTTATGTTTAAAGAAATATCTTTCTGTTATTTTACTGTTTTATGATATATTCTTAAAATCACTGATTATATAACGAAATATTTTTAAAGGCTTCTTTTCTCTTTTTGGAGTCATCTTTTTTTTCAATGATCACTTTTACTATGTTTATTTTAAATTTTAACTTTGTTGCTTCTAATATTATATACAGTGATTCTTAGTTATCTATACATATTTAAGACAGCTATTCTGAAAGTATGATCTCCTTTGACTCTCTTTTAAGTATATCTGTTTCCTTAAGTGATTGAGGACTTGGAGATTGAGAACTTGGAGCAAGATATGGGATGGAATGGGAGCATATTTAGCTAGTATGAAGGTATGATTTCCTTTGACTCTTTATTTTTCTTTTTATTGCATTTTAGGTTTTGGGGTACATGTACAGAACATGCAAGATAGTTGCATAGGTATACACATGGCAGTGTGTTTTGCTGCCTTCCTCCCCTTCACCCACATTTGGCATTTCTCCCCATGCTATCCCTCCCCAGCTCCCCCCCTGCATGCTGTCTCTCCCCTATTCCCCGCAATAGACCCAGTGTGTAGTACTCCCTTCCCTGTGTCCATGTGTTTTCATTGTTCATCACCTGCCTATGCACGAGAATATGCGGTATTTCATTTTCTGTTCTTGTGTCAGTTTTCTGAGAATAATGTTCTCCAGATTCATCCATGTCCCTACAAAGGACACGAACTCATCATTTTTGATTGCTGCATAATATTCCATGGTGTATATGTGCCACATCTTCCCAGTCCTTTGACTCTTTTTAAGTAGATATGTTTTCCTGGCCGATTGAGAACTTGGAGCAAGATATGGGACAGAATGGGGCATTTTTACTGATAGATGTGAAGGAATAGATAGAGAGTTGTCTGGTAAACTGTGGGCCACACAAATAAAAGAACATGAATATTTGGAGAGTGCTTACTTTAGAGTCTACTTTGGCTCTCTTCAAACGTATTATTTTTTATCTTAGAGCATGCTATCAAGTGTCATACCTGGGGAAATGTCTGCCTGTTTGTGCTTTGGTTCTGAAGAAGAAATTAAGTTACTAACTGGTAACTTTATTGCATGTAAACATTTTTAATGAATCTTCTTGTTTTCAGTCTTATTTTTCACTTTGGCCCTTTGTTCCACCAGTTGACTTTGAGCCCAAATCCTCCTTGCCCAGTTTTCAAGTGAATATTTTCAAAGTACTCAGCAATATTTTATGACATATTGTGGCCTTTGTTTTTGTTGTATTCCTACCCTTTCATCTGAAATCTGCCCTCATATATCATCATCTTGCAAACATTTGCTGAAATTTATTTCATTCCCTGATATACCTCTCATTCTTTTCTCTGATATGAATTACTTACTTCATTTATTGAGACAGAGTCTCACTCTGTCACCCAGGCTGGAGTGCAGTGGTGCGATCTTGGCTCACTGCAACCTCCACCTCCAGGGTTTAAGAGATTCTCCTGCCTCAGCCTCCTGAATAGCTGGGATTACAGGCACCCACCTCCACTCCTGGCTAATATTTTATATTTTTAGTAGAGACTGGGTTTCATCATGTCGATCAGACTGGTTTAGAACTCC